TGTATGTGTTGAGGTGAATGTTTCTATGGAATAAGCCTATAAATTGCATGATAGATTTCTATATATATTTCATTTAAAAAACAAAAACAAAAATGCTATGGACCCTTGTTATGGAGCTGCCACTAACCTAACCTGCATGTGTTGTACCTTGTCTTCAAGAACACAAAACCCTTATATTCTGTCTCCATTAACGGGCTCTCAAGTAGATCTCTTCCCTGACCTATTTGAAACAGCAGTGAGTATAAAAGCAAGCATTGCACCATTGTCATATAACACATCTTCCAGAAAAGATGCAAAGGAGTTGTCACATCTGGTTGTTACAAAACATACTGGGCTGGGGAAACGTGTAGTTGCTGGAAAGCCCAAAGAAACCTCTTAATTTGGGTCTAGAACAAATAGATGGCACTTTTATAGTAACTTCATTAAAAAGTGACTCCATTGAAATGTAAAAATCTGAGTTCTGTATCTGTGGACACCAAAATCTCAAAGGAGACCCACAAAGGCAGAACACACAGAATGGATGATGAAAGAGAAGTGAGCGGGAGCATTCCCCAAACACCCGTGAGATACAATACAAATAATAGCAGCAATGATGATAATCAACACAATTTATAGCTAAAACCTCTTACCAGAGTTAAAGCACTTTTCACACAGATGCACCAGGCTGACACAAAGACTAACATTTTATAGATCAAGACATGTAAGCTCAGAGAAGTTCAAGTCTTATCCATGTCACAGTAATCCAATGGGAAGGCTGAAGTATATCCACATACCTCCCACTTCTAAATGCTGTGTTCTTCACACAACATTTCACTTCAGACCATAGAATAATATCTAGGCCTCTCTTCTAAATTTCTGGATATGTTGGTAATTATTTTTAAATATATTTTTTTATGATTTCAGAGACGGGGAAGGAGAGAGATCAAGAGACAGAAACACTGATGAGAGAGAAACATCATAGATCGGCTGCCTCCTGCAATACCCCTATTGGGGATCAAGCCAGCAACCCAGATTGTGCCCTGGCCAGGAATCAAACCAGTGAGCTCTTGGTTCATGGGTCAACACTCAACCACTGAGCCACACCACCAGGCAAGTAATTATGTGTTGAAATCCAGAAAAATCGAGGTGCTAAAGAAAACTAGTTTATTATCTCTATTGCCATGTAATTAATGTGTTGGAGGATAGGGATAAGTTGGTACATAAAAAGCATCCAAGAAAGTAGCAAAATAAGAAACTTGGCTTTAGGGACCTTTGATGCTATTTTAAAAAGTAAAATGTTATGTTAAGAGCTATGTGGTGTATCCCTCTATGTGCATAATTATTATTCCATTGATTTATTGCTCACATGTCAAAGAGCATCTGGGCATTTATGCAAGTTAAAACAACCAACCCAAGAGCCAAGCCACACAGCCTCAAACCCAGACAACTTGCCTCCCACCCTTGTCCCGCTCTTCATCCTGCCACCTCCCAAACAAAAATTCTCATAGTAAGGATCTTCCTGGCAGAGATGAACTGTTAAACCAGTGACATCTATCATGTACACCATATTCTAAAAGAGTAGCTAAAACCAGTTAATAGCATAGATTTTCCAGAGAAACCAGCAAATTTCTTCTAATTCTAGAAAGAACCCTCTTCTGTTTTGGCAAAAGCTTTTAAGGAGTAACTCAGGAATCAAACTGGAACCTTCTGCAAGGATGAGCCCTGATCTGTCATATGGGCATAATGAATCATAACGTATCTACTAAATACTCATCCACTAAGGTAGGGAGACTCTTTAGAGGTGGGAAAATCACTTTAATATATTTCACCCTGTTGCCAAAAATCCTTTGCCTATGATCCAACCAATAGAGCAAATTTTAACTGAAACTGCTTCCCCTAAGAGATGGACATCACTGGGTAACTGTCTCCATTTTTATTTACAGAGATCTTAAAAGAAAAAAAAAGGCAAAAAGAAAATTCCTCTGATGTCTCCAGCTGATAAAATCATTAATCACACACTCCAAACTTCAAAGCAGAAGACGAGAAAATCACCTCACTTTCCCTGCACATGGAGAATAATTTTTCTACTTCAAAGAACCATCTTTTTTATTGGGTCATTTTAATTATTGAACGTGGGATGGAAGCTATCCACATAATGTCACCGCTGTCTTTTTCATGAAATATACATAGGTCTAATTTGACTACATTCACTCAAGAGGGAAACACTGAGGAGAGGATAAGAAAAGGGATATGGGCTGGGGATACAGCTCTCCTCAGTGCAAATGAGTAAGAGAAAGGAAGTAAGCCTTTCAGGGCTGACTTTTCTCATTCCTTCCTCTTGGAGAGAAACCACCAAAAAGCGGACTGCCTATTTGGGCAATTCCTCAAGGGACTGCCTTGCTTCTCAATTCTCCTCCTACCCAACACATGGCAACACAATCACACTACCTTTATTAGTAACTAGAGGCCCGGTGCACGAAGTCATGCACGAGTGGGGGGTCCCTCGGCCTGGCTGGTGATCAGGGCCAATAGGGGACATCTCAACCAGCCACGATCAGGGCCAATCAGGGCCAGCTGGCTGCGGGGGAGGGACCGCGGGAGGTTGGCTGGCCTGGCCGTGGGAATTTGGCTGTGGGAGCATCCTGACCACCAGGGGGCAGCTCATGCATTGAGCATCTGCCCCCTGGTGGTCAGTGCACGTCATAGTGACCGGTCGACCTGTTGTAACTGTCACTTAGGCTTTTATAGATACTAGTATAGATGCTGGCATTATTGCCAACCTCAGACAACTGTGGGTACAATCAGTTGATTTGTGAATAACGAGTGTGAAGAAAACCTTGTGTTCCAGAACAAGGGTCAGCAAACTATCTGGCCCTGTTCAGAGTAAGACTGCTAGGGAGAGGTCAAGTCAAGCATCCCAATCCCCACTCAGCCCTTTTCCCACAAAATCACAACGCCGAGAATTGGCAAATTTCTTCTGTAAAGGGCCAGAGAGTAAATATTTTTAGCTTCGCGGCCTATACAACAATCTCTGCAGCTACTCAATTCTGCAGTTATAGCCAAACACAACACATAGACACTAGTAAATGAGTATGGCTGAGTCCTAGCAAAACATTACTTCCAAAAATAGGATGAGGGTGGGATTTGTCCACAAGCCATAGTTTTCAACTCCTATTCTAGTCAAGTGCTAGATACTAGAAATGTTCTAGCACTGTGCTAGCCAATACAGCAGCCATTAGCCAGAGTTGACCATTAAATACTTGAAATGTGGCTAGTGTGACTAAGGAACTACATTTTAAATTTTACAGAATTTAATTTTCTTTAGTTTTTATTAAATTTATTGGGGTGATATTCATTTAATAGGATCATATAGGTTTCTATGATACATGATCTGTATATATAGCATTTTGCAGCCACCACCCAAAGTCAAATCATCTCTGTCACCATGTATTTGGCCCCCTTTACCCAGGAACTGCATTTTAAATGTTACTGACTTTTACTCATTTAAATTTTAACAGACATGGGTGGCTAGTGCCGTGGTCGGCAAACTGCGGCCCCTTGAGTGTGGCTCTTCCACAAAATACCACATGTGGGTGCGCACGTCCAGTGCGATTGAAACTTCATGGCCACACTCAAGGGGCCAAAGAGCCGCATGTGGCTTGCGAGCCACAGTTTGTCGACCACTGGGCTAGTGGCTCCAGTATTCGATAACACAGTGGTAGATGCTTCTCATTGCTCCTCTACAAAGCAGATTCAGGCCACCTTCCAATTTATGGCATAGTTTAAAATTTTTCCTTAAAAAAGAAGATAGCCATGCTTCCACATTCAGAATGAAGCCACATCCAACTGAAAATTATGTTTCTTACGTGTGGAATATCTACATCATTGAAGCAAAAATAAGTGTTTGGTTTGAATCAATCAAATAACAGCAATTTAGCCAACGTGAAGTGCATAGGGGCTAAGTCGGATCCACGCCAAGACTTATCCAATGTGGAACCTGTTTCCTGTCTCCTCTGAACACTGGCCTGCACCTCCACTGAGGGCACAGACCTACTGAATGGCCCCATGGACTCCTAAGGAAAGACCAAATCTCCCCACAGACCCGAAAATGTATACATTCAAAGACATGGTTCAAGAGCACAAGAGGGAACATGCATCTCAGTTAGGCTGCCTTCTCCCAAAGTGATCACATCATACGCTGCCTCTACACGGATATCGGGCACTCACCACATCCTTCGCCACTGCCCACACGGATCATTTATTTTCTGCCAACTGTTTTATTTGCACAATAAGTAGCTTGTGTCCTGCATTCCTTCGCCATCCCCAAAATATAATCCAATGGGGAGAAGCAAGGAAATAAGATAGCAACATGTTTGTTTGTTTTCCAAGTGTGAATAAGAAATAACAAACCAACTTTTCGTTTAAGCAATTTGTATAATATCAACTTTCTTCAATGGGTTAAAGAATATTGAAAATTAAGGATACTCTTTAGGAAGTAAGAAACCTTCGGAATCATAGGTGCCAGGAGGGGGACCTATATAAATACACAACAAAGGAAGGTAAATGACATTCTGACTTTTTAAAATGATTTTTGATAAAAAATAAAACCATTCCAGATCCAATCATTTATTTATCTGTGGTTCCCAAATCTCCAAAGCTGAAAAAATGAAAGAAAAAAAATCCAAGTGTGAAGCAAACTCCCTTTACTGGCACAACCTGATGCAAACTGGCAGAGGGTTACTTATATAGTCTCTTTTTATTCACTTTAGGGTGAGAACTTTTTTTCTGAAGAAATATCCATGTGTTTGTACAACACTCCCAGCAACCTCACTGGGAATGTTACACAATCTATAATACATGCAGTAGGTCTTCCCTTTCCAAAATCCACCCAAATATCCGATATCCAAAACACCTCTTGCCCCAAGGGTTTGGATAAGGAATCTTCTAAAGAAAGCTGTTCAGGTAGAACATTTTCTATCAACTCAGCGTCTGCTGCCCAGAATTCTGAGACAGTGCCTTACCTCGGTTTGAAGAATGGCAGCCCGCTGTTCTTTGGCAGTAAGCGACTCTTTAAGCACTTCAATGTGTTGCTTGCAATCTGAATTTTGATTGCTAAGGGTTTCAAGCTTTGTTTGTAAGGCAAGAAGTTCTGATTCCTTCTTTGAAAGTTCCTGCTTTAGCTGATCAATCTGTAAAACAACAAAATTGCAAGAAATTAGAAGCCACAAATACTACTCTCTATTTGAAAACTATTGATTTCTCTTATAGTCCTTTCGTGTGTGTGTGTGTGTGTGTGTGTGTGTGTCTACTACTCTCTATTTGAAAACTACTGATTTCTCTTACAGTCCGTGTGTGTGTGTGTGTGTTCTTTAAATGACTTGTTTCTTTTTCTTTTTCACAGTCAGTGATTATTATTCCAACAATGCAGGCTATACGTTTGATGAAAAAGATGCTCCTGGGAGTCACACAGACTTGGGTTCTGGGGAGGCTCTGCAAATGTGGCAGAGAGTGTAGAAAGCCAGAAAGGTAAGGTCAGCAGACTTCCGTCCACCTTCCACCCCACTGAGAACAAAGGTTCACAGTGGAAAGAAGGCTTCCAGGCCAAACCTACTAGTCATCTATGAAACCAAAGACAATTCACCAAGATCCTCAGAGGGGTAAACAGGGAGCTAATAAAGGTACTTAACCTAAGACATAACCTGGACCTTCTCTACTATTCCACAGTGGAAATGATCATTCAAGGGCATTATTTGACAAAAGAGAATTCTCACCCCCAGTCCCAAAAAAATAAGTATTGGGGGTGTTTCTTTTGCTTATATTAAATACTGAGAAAATACAAAAGAAATAAAATATATATAAAGTATAAGGGAAAATAACACAAGTAATATCCATCATTCAATTCACCAAAAAAGATAGTTAGAATTATCTGTGCTCCAGCACATTTCTATCTTGTTCTTTCCCCTTCAGAAATAATTCCCACTCTAAATTTTATGCTGATCATTTTCTTTCTTGTCTTTTGGGTTCACCATGTATTTTTTCCATCTGTAAATGATATATACCATTTAGTTTTGAATACTATTTAGGTTTTTAACTTTGTTTGCAGTGTATGTTTTGTGGGATATTTTTTAAGCATTAGGCTTTTTTTCTACTCAATCTTATGTCCTGGAGATTAAATTGTGTTATTGTACAAGCAATTTGTTTGTTTTCTTTGAAGAACAGTATTCCATTGTAAAACTTCACCGCAGTTTATTTGTCCATTCTGCTGCTGATAGACATCTGGGTTTGTTTCCAGGTGTTGTTGGTTTTTTTCCTATTAAAGTGCTATTCTGGCCTGGCCAATGTGGCTCAGTGTCGATCTATGAACCAAGAGGTCACGGTTTCATTCTAGGTCTGGGCACATGCCCAGGTTCCAGGCTCAAACCCCAGTGGGGGAACTGCAGGAGGCAGCCGATCAATGATTCTCTCTCATCATTGATGTTTCTATCTCTCTCTCCCTCTCCCTTCATCTCTGAAATCAATAAAAGTATTTGACTGAAAAAGTGCTATTCTGAACATTCTTCTACATATCACCTGGTACACATAGTAAAAATAATCTAAAAGTTAAATTGCTGGACCACATAGTATACACATCTTCCACTTCACTAGACAAACAAATGTTTTCCAAAGCAGTTACATTAATATTCACAGTCACAGGCATGGTGTGTTCATCACTCCACAGCTTTGCCAATCTTATGTCACCAGCGTTCTACATTTCTGCCTGCAGAAGGAATGGCAGCTTCAGCCTCCTCCTGCTGGCAGCCAGCCACCATGCTAGAAGTCAGCTATCCTCCAACCGCTGTGCTCCGAGGAAGCCATACCAAACACACAGTGGGCAAAGAAAGACAGAGAAGCTGGTGGAAATGATAATTCCTTTGTCTTGTTGATGATCGTAAAGTGAAGAATTTCAATGTTTCACCATGAATGTTCATGTTTGTTTTAGCTTTTTATAGGCCCTCTTAGGTTTCAGAAAGTTCCATTTTATTACAACTTTGGAAAGTGTTTTGTTTTGTTTTTTTAATCTTCACCCAAGGATGTGTTTACTGATTTGAGAGAGAGGAAGGAAGGGAGATGGATGAGTAGTTTCAGTCTTCCATATTTCGATCATTGAATCTGACTCATCTGTTAATCACTTAAAGGTGGGTTAAAACACCTACTTAATGATGAAATAATAAATTCTTCCTTATAGTTCTACCAATTTTTAGATCTAGAAATGGTTTCTTTGTCTTAATGTCTACAAATCCATTCCTTTAAAGGTTATGAAATCTGTCATTAGCTGCAGTTTTTATAGTTTTATTGAAATATAATTTACATACCATAAAATTCACCTAACTAAAGTGTTCTATTGATGGTTTTTAGTATTTCCCATCATCATCATGGTTGTACACGTGAATCCTCTCAAAATAAAACCTTTCATCATCTCAAAATTAAAGCCTAAAACCATTAGCTGTCCCTCTCCATTCCCCACCCTCTACCCCCAGCTGTAGGCAAACAATACTAGTAATCTACTTTCTGTCTCTATGGATTGGCCTATTCTGGGTATTTTGTATAAATGGAATCACACAATATATGTACTTTGTGACTGGCTTCTTTCATGTAGCACAATATTTCAAGATTCATCCTTTTTATTGCTGAATAATATTCCCGAGCATGAATATAGCACATTCTATCAATTCACCAGTTGATGGGCACTCATGCTGTTTCTATATTTTGGCTATTATGAATAATGCCACTACAAATATTCATGCACAACCCTGTGTGGACAAGTTTTCATTTCTCTTGGGTATATATTTAGGTGTAGAATTGTGAGGACATGTGGCAACTGTATGTTTAGCATTTTGAAGAAATTCTAAATCATTTGCCTAAGTGACTGTAGCATTTCCCATTACCACCAGCAATACATGTGGGCTCTAACTTTTTCATACTCTTACCAGAATTTGTTATTGTCTGTCTTTTTAATTATAGCCATTATGAAGGGTATAAAGTGGTATCTCATTATGGTTTTGACTTGCATTTCTCTAATAACTAATGACACTAAGCATATTTTCACATACTTTTAGCCATTCATACTGGTATATCTCTTTTGGACAAGTATTCTAACTGCTTTCTATGACTTTTTCTTTGCCTTTTATGGCTTTATTTGATACAAATGGATATGTTTTTTCCTATTTCTCCTTTTGGGGTACTTTGAGCCTCCTGATTGTGGACTGGTACCTGTCATCAGTTTTGGAAAAATATCAGCTTTTATTTCTTCAAATATGAATAGTGATCTACTACATCATTCTTTCTTGAACTCTGATTATAGTTATAATAGACCTTCTTTTTCTATATATCTTAACTTATCTTTCATGTATGCCATCTTTTTACTTAATTTATTTGCTCTATTTTCTAGTTTGTTAAGTCTCTCTTCTTCTGTGACCCTCCTCTGTGATGACTTTATATTTATTTATTGAGCTTTGAAATTTGCATTTTTATTTTCCCATTTCTAGAAGTTCTCTTTAAATTTGCTTGGTATTTTAATTTATTTTTTAAATATATATTTTATTGATTTCAGAGGGGAGGGGAGAGGTAGAGAGACAGAAACATCAATGAAAGAATCATTGATTAGCTGCCTCCTGATTACCCCCCACTGGGGTTTGAGCCCACAACTCGGGCATGTGCCCTGACTGGGAATCACACCATGACCTCCTGGTTCAAAGGTTGAGGCTCAACCACTGAGCAACACTGGTTGGGCTAAATTTTCTTGATATTTTTATATTCTCTCGACTTTTATTTGTATTCAAATACCTTCTTTTATTTATTTAAACATATTAATCACATTTATGTCATAGCGTTTGTCTTAAAAATCCAAGTCCTAAAGTTCTTGCCACCTGGATCTGCTGTCTGTTTTTTCTACTGATTCATGGTGGCTTGCTTTCTTGCAGGTTTTCTAATTAAAAAAATAATATCTTGCCTTCATTTTTTTTGTAACTTTATCTACAGAAATATTTTGCAGGCTAAGTTAGCATGCAGCCTTCCAGAGCAGTTGCCTCTGCCAATACCTGAGGCCCTACCAACCAAGGACCCCTTTAAACCACATCCTCTACTTGAAGATTCCGGATCACCTCACATTGCACATCCGTGCAAGATCCAGCTGTGGGTATAGATTCTCAGAGATCTTCTTTTTTGTCTTCCACTTGGCTCAAAGTTTGTTTTAAAATATATACTTTTCCCTGTAGTCTCCAGTCTGAGTGAGAGGAGAGTAGAATTGGGAGGTTATTTGTAGTTAATCCTGACACCGAAGGGTGATGCTATCCGGGATCCCAGCCTTATGTGGTGTGGCAGCAGAATCCCTATTTGACTCTTCATCTTGAGCAGGCTCAGGCTTCTGTCTTCTTTTCTTAAATGTCCCTGTGACTGTGAAAATCAAAGCTCAAGTTCACTTGCCTAGCAAAGACTAACAAGAAGATTTAACCAGTGCTCGATTGATCACTCCAGCTCCCTGCTTTGGCTTAGTTTGGGCCCTTGAGATTCTTTCTAACTTGACAGTTCACATGTACATTTTTATTTTATTTTCTGTTTGTTTTAAATTTATCTTTATTGTTGAAAGTATTACAGATGCCCCCCTTTTTCCCTGTGGACCTCCTCAAGGGAAATACGTTCAAAAATACATTTCACCCAGCAATTTTTGTTGTTTTCAGCAACTGAAACTGGCATAAACAAGGGCCAAGCCACTGACAATAACTGCTGAGCATGAACCAGAGTGAGATGCTTAAAAAAAGAAGTGAAAACATCTTCAGAAGTGTTCAGGTTGCACAATTTACTAGAAGGATTTATATGGAAGGAGATTCCATCCTCAGGAGAAGTCAGACTGATCAGGGGGCAAATAGGTTGCATCTTTGTTGCCATATCAAAAGGTTTGGTAGTGGCCGGCCGAAAGGTAGTCTTGAGAATGGTTCTGGATTTGCCTGAACGTTCACTGGGAGAGAATCGTGATTGATTATCAACATACTCTGCATGTGTAAGCAGGTGGTGGCACGGCTCAGGTATGTGCAATCCCTGAACTACATTATTATTGTCATAATCTAATCATGTGAGTCGATGATCATTTTTATCTGGAATAGAGTAAGAAACTCTCTCTCTCTCTCTCTCTCTATCACACACACACACACAC